ATGTCTAAGGAAAGCAAAATATTTGTCGTAACATCCTTTTAACGTTTATCGTGGGTATTTACCAGTGGCATCAGCGACAGCGCTGGTCAGCATTCCACAGTGTGAGGAAGCCGCGGGGAAATAAAATCAGTGAGTCACGGATTGAATCAATGCCATTGGTCTCTATTAAGTGAAGCATCAGCTTCAGCGTTACCCATGCGACGCATTGCTGCTCAGCTGAGCCTTGAAAAGTGGAGCTCAAAGTTAAAAATAATTAACACCTTGTTTCATTACATCTCTTTTAGTGCGCGCTAGTGACAGCCTTTCAATGCGCAGAGACGCTGTTTAGTTTCGGTTACATTGGATTCTGAAAATGTCCTTGTTTTTGTCCATGCTGCCCACATAGTAAACTTCATTTATATAAAAATAAATAAATGGCGATAATACTGCATATCGCACTATTAACATTACCGTAAGGGAAATTCCGTAACAGCAACAGCCCTACGAAGCAAGGCTAGCTGCTAGCAAATTTACTGAAATCTTTCAGGAACAAACTTCGGGGGGTTCTGGAACAAACTTTAGGGGGTTCTCTTTCTTGGTTCGGCGATAAAAGAGGGAGAAATGATCAGTGGCGCAAAAAGTGGGTATGCGCTATATGCGGCGCATAGGGGCGCAGCACAATGGGGGGCGCCAAGCGATGGTAAAAAAAAAAAAAAAAAAATTATATATAGGCTACAACGGCAGCTATTTCTATATGTAGCTGCCGTTGTGCGTTTCTAAATCATTTCTGCATTCCTTCAATGTTATATAAAATTTTAGAGGACTAACAGCCAGGCTAGAGTAGGCGCCCTCATGGAGAAGGGGGCGGGTAATATCGCGAGCGGGCGGGGGCGCCGTGAGCTCTGAGCGAGCAGGTACGAGTAGTTAGTTGTCGTCGAAAAAGATGGATAAAACAAAATGCTGTGGTGCTCAAAATAGAAAAAGAAAGAAGAGAAAAGGAGATGGCATGTCAATTGATGCGACAGCACCTAAATAACTGCATGCATTGCTGAAAGCCAACAGGTAGGATTTAAAATGTGACATCCAGGCATGGCTATCTACAGTAGGCTATATCTCGGTGGCCATCGGAACTGAGATTCCCGCTGGGCCGACGTGCTTTTCAGACAATACATTCATCCTTTTTTAATTTATTTGTCTTAACGGCCCACAAAACTCATACATCGGCGGCCCATTTGTTTGTTTGTTGTTGTTTTTGTTTTTTTGTTTTTTTTTGCTTAATTGGCGGCGCTGTGCTGGTGTAATGCATTGGTCAAAAAAAGTCAGCTTTAGTTTTTTTTTTCTGACACACTGGCCCATGAAATATGTCATTATGCGCAAGTATCTTTCAAGTACAGAAATTAGTGCAAAACTAATTATGAAAGTTTCCTTTATTTTTCTGTGCATTTGTTTTACAATAGCCTTTATGGCAATTACTATCATGGGATTAATATTATAACTATTATTTTGTAGTAGTGTAATTTATACAGACACTAACTAAAAGAGGATCAAAATTTTCTCTGTTTAATTTGCACCCTGAATATGGGTTGGAGCTTTTAATTTTGAACTCTCAAAGTGCACCAGTCTGCTGAATTTAACATTACAGAACACAAAATTTTCTTACGGGGGAGCATGCCCCCGAACCCCCTAGAGAAACAGAGGTCCACCTACCACAGTTTTACCTAAAATCCTGTGAGAAACACTGGTATTGCTGTTACAATGGAGCTTATAGTTTTCTTAGGGGGGGGGGGGTTCATTAAGGTGGAGTAGCTATAGTTTAATTGTGTTAATAAACGACAATTTTGCACTTATTTTTTTCTGTTAGCTCTCATTTCTTCCTACTCACTTATTACACAGCACACTTACATTACATTTATTTTATTTTTATTTTATTTAATTTTTTTGTTTTTTTTTTTTGGGGGGGGGGGGGCGCTCCAAATGTTGCTGCATACCCCTCCGAAACTGGGTAGTTGCGCCCCTGGAAATGATGATAACACACATATACAGTTTATGTATAACCTGAAAGTATTTATTCAGTGATCGGCGGGAAAAGGTAATCGGTACAGAATATTGTTGTGTACGGTACATGGTTAGTTTACGTTACCTGTATAAAATCTTCTGCACTCATCCTTCCACATTCATCACAGTTTTTAATTTAATTTGTCCCCTATTCGTTTGTTGTAGCATAAAATGATAGATATACAAAAACTCTAACCCTGGCTTCAGCTAGAATGTGGTCATGTTTTATTTCAAGAGGGGATCCTCTGAGTCAAGGCTGTTTAGTGGCCATAGCAACGCAGACACATACAGACACTGACGCCCGTTTCACACATACTCTGTGTGAAGTGTTTAAACAACGTAGGCATATAATTCCATGCATTACTTCTATACATATTCAGTTGCTCAAGCAAGTGGTCAAATATTTAACAATGTTTTTTTTATTATTATTATTAAAATCGCAAACATTTTAAATTAAATCTTGAAATTGACCAAAAAAGCTGACTCTCGTGCCTTTTTTTCTTTTTTCTTTTTCTTTTTAAATTTTAAAACAATAAATCTTGCATGTCACAAAGAACTTTTTCTACCTCCACAAATGAGAAGAGTGTTGTTCATTATGTCCTTGTTGAGGTTAATTGTAGTTTTCCAATGCTGTGTGACACAATCAGGCTAATTTCTTGGATTTTGTGGCAAGATTAGTGAATAAAATGAAGATAGATTTCACTGAAGTTATTGACAAAATGAGCTTTGATGACGTAAAGAAACATTCTCAAAAAAATCAGACATAAATACAGATGCATGATTAAATAGCAAAATTAATAAATAATACTAAAATATGTAATATTTAGTATACATAAATAATACTAAAATAGCACTGGACTAATTAAGCTATTCTAAACTGTTTTAAAAGATGCGAATAATGTACATGTTAAACTGAAGCTACCTTTTTGAAAAAGTAGCTATCTAACATAAAGGGCCCTATTTTAACGATATAAGCGCATGGTCTAAAGCGGCACAAGTGCACTTAGGGCGTGTCCGGAATTACACTTTTGCTGGTCGACACATGGTCTAAAAGGATCTCGTCTCCCACCTTGTTTTCAGACCAGCCCATGGGTGAAACAAATGGCTGCAAATGCATTTGCTATTTAAACAACGGGCAGGATGTGAAAATGAAAACTGCGTCAGGCTGAAACTAGCAAATAACACCTGGCACTGCATTGCGCAGAGTGTATGATAGGGCCTGAAAACATGTGTTTTTTTTTTAATAATTATTATTAAATAATTTTATATTACAGTTAAATTAATCGTGTACTTTATTAAGGATTTATATAATTCTGCATTTATATAAATAAAGCTGTTCTATTATTTTTTTTAAACCTGGTATTTTTGTTTTGCCCATGTATAAGGTTGTGAATATTTATGTAAAGTTTATATAACTTAATGTTGAATTTTATTATTTTTGTGAGCTGTACTCTATTCATACATTGGGTTATTTTATTTATTACAGTTTTTCACTTCTGAAAACATTAATACAAATTGTATTTGACTGTTATGATTAACAGCAGTGAATAAATGTCAGGTATCACTGTTCATTGCTGATTTTAAAGCTTACTAAAATTTAAATGATTTGGATATCTACAGTTCTACATATAAATACACAATATAAGAATGGTCCCTTTGTATTAATTGTGGCCCCTCTTGTTGTGGCCCCTCTTGCCCCCCAGTTGAAAAAAATCCTGGAATTGCCCTGGCCACCAGCCCTGCACATTTTGTAACATTATACAATACCATTCAAAAGTTTGGGCTCAGTAAGAATTATTTATTTATTTATTTTTAATTAAAATGAATAATTTTATTCACCAAGGATGCATCAAATTAATCAAAAGTTACAGTAAAGACATTCATAATTTTCCAAAAGCTTTCTGTTTCAAATAAATTCTTTTGAGTTTCTTATTTTTTTATTTTTTTATTATTTTATCTTATAATGGAAAACTGTTTTCAACATTGATAATAATAATAAATGTGTTTTTTAAACAGCAAATTGGCATATTAAAATGATTGCTGAAGGATCATGTGACACTGAAGACTAGCGTAATGATCCAAAGAAATCCAACACAGGGGGAAAACATTGCATTTTAAAATATCTTCAAATGATAAACAGTTGTTTTAAATTGTAATAATATTTCACAATTTTACTGTTTTGTTATGTATTTTTAATCAAATAATTGCAGCCTTGATAAGCACAAGAGACTTCTTTTAAAAACCTTTTTTTTAAACGTACCACTACCAATCTTGAAAATTTGAACGGCAAAATCTGACTTTTATGTCCCCAAACTCAAAATTAAGCCTATGTGCTTTAACAACTCACACAAACTGATATTGTAGACTTAAATTACTATTAAATGACTTTTACTATTAAATGAAATGAAAAAAAAAAATTACTCCACATCAGACTGAACTTTAAATAATTCAGTCTAAATAATAAATAATAATTTTCAATAATTTTATGTTATCAAATTCAGTCTAAATAATAAATAATAATTTTCAATAATTTTATGTTATCAAATTAATTACCTTAACAGTTTCATAGCTTCTTTTATTTATTTTCTTCTGATTCTTGGAATATCTTAATTTAGACATCTTTACATGTATTTACAAGTATTTTTAAACTTAAATGATTTTTTTGTCCACATTTTTATATAAGAAAATGTACTCTCACTCTTATTCGTTTCAATGCACATGTAGGAACTCTGCTTTGTGAACTCAAAATCTTTTTAACGCGTAAAACACATTTATCACTATTTGTATTTTAATATAGCTAGGGATAATGTATAATGGTTTCTGCACCCAAAATATTAGTTTTGACTTTTAGACTAAATCTAACAATCTTCATATATATATATATATATATATATATATATTCTTAATATATGTGTATGTCAATGTCTGTAAAGTTTTGTGAGAGCAGTGTGTTGACAGGGCTTTTATTTTGGTCAGGTGGTGCGACGTCATCAGGATGCGCCGCTCCTGCATCTGTTGACATGAAAAAAGGTTTGCGCTTTAAACTGTTTTTAAGTCAATGTAAAATAATTATTTAATTACATTAAGGGGTGTTTTATTTTTGTGAGTATCTTAAGCAACAGAAAAGGTGCGTCTCATTTCGTTTTCTACATCGTGAATCATAAACGCGAATCCAGGCTCTGGCGAGTAACGTAGTATGTGAGAAAAGGAGATTGTTTAACTGTTTCGAATCGCTGACGACACAGCTGTGAAAAAATAAACACATAGGCTGCGTTAAAAAACTCCACACTAACTTAATGCCCAGCACTACTATTTATTTTGTAGGAATAGTGTGTGAATTAATACAATATGCAACAAATACTTTTTTAAAGGTAGAACGCTACAGTGTCGTCACATGACCAACATTAAACAGCACAGCTGTCCAGGGGCTCGTTCTTCGTACGTCGCTAACTCAGTTAGCTGGATTTGATTGTTGGCGATTTGCCATGATCTTGGATCGTTTGGTTCTTCGACGCTCATCCTGGACTTGCTGTCATAGCAACAGGTCCGTCAGCTTGAACCTGCTCGCGAGCAGGCTTATTTCATGTAAACAGGATTAGATCGCGGCTGATACGGGAAGTCCTTCAGCGCAGCGCGATAGTGTAGCTTAATTTCTGAGATTTATTTTTGTTTTCTCGTGAAACGATCGTCGTGAGGGTGTCGTTTAAATACATTATTATTTTGTTGGAAATGCACATTAATGTTCGATTCGATGTCGGGCTTCAACAACAGCACAAAATGTTTGCATTGCCCTAAAATTATTTGCGAGTGGCTTCCTTTACACTATTGGAGATGCGGAGAACTTGATAAGCTTTCTGTTGTGCCATTCACAAAGTAGTGCTCTTAGTTTTTTTTTTTTTTTTTTTTTTTTTTGCCAACTTAGGGTATATTATAATTTTTAATGAAGATAATGCAATCATGATGACCATGCCGATTATGACTTACAGTCCCTCAGGCTTAACTTACGTGATTGGTGCCATACACTGTATACACACATGTTCCCATCAAGGCCTCAATGAAGGGATTTTGTGAGCAGAAAGGGGGCTTATACAGTGCAGCCAAATTACTATTACAATTTTTAATATTCCAGATTTGGAATATTATATCACTTTTTTTAAAAGGCATTTGACGGAGTAAAATCTTTTAGATGGTGTGTGACCATGTTCTATATCACAAATCAGTGTGAAAGCAAAATGGCCAGGATCTGTGCATTGTCAAGAATTTTAAGAGATTCACATTTATGAACATTATTTGAACATGGTAAGGAAAATTATAAATATCAAACTCACAGTATTACATACACTTATGCTGAGAACTGCATTTTTCCATTAAACAGGTGATTACAACAGGATCCTGCATGGAGACAGGTGTTTTATGACCCCATTCCCTGACCCAAACCCCAGACCAGTTACAATGCAGCTCTAGGACAAGGGCACACAATGACATGAGCTTTGGCCAACTAAAGGGAAGATTTCAATGTCTAAAAACCCTGAGGGTTGCACCTGACAGGGGCTGTGACATTGCATGTGCCATATTACACAACACTGCCAACATCAAATGTTTAATTAAGCCTAAAATAAAAGACAAGACAAATTTGCAAAACTCTGTTTGCTTAGAGTTTTATTTCAATAGTTCTTTGTAAAGAAAAGCCAGTTATTCAGTCATCTTTTTAAAAGATATTAAGGTCAGTAATAGTACTCTGTGTGATTTTACTCTGAAGTTTATTTTGAAGCAACTCTATTTCTAGTGCAATTTTTTCTTAGTCAAGTTCTGTTTCTCCCCCTGATTTTTGTTTTTTCAAAATACTCTATTTTCTGTTAAAGACTCATATAGGGAACAAATGCAACAAATAAAAAGCAAAAGTTGTCTACACTGCCCACCCCTGTATCACTGCTGTGTGCAGACTCTTCTGTAGGCCTTTCTGTACATGTGGACTCCTGTCAGAAATAATAGGCATAGGCACAAGTAGAAATCAATTAAAGCCATCAATTAAATTAAAGTACTTCCTCCAAAGGACAGTCATCTGAGAAGTTTTCTTCACTCTCCAGTGCAATGTGATTGATAACTCATGGCAAAATATTTTTTACATTAACATACGTTTATCAGTTTTTACTTTCACAAGACAAAGCAATTTATCATTACTCAAGATTTAACAGCTGAAATGACTAAACCAGCCAATTTGGATTATAGGTCTACTTCATTTAATGCAGCAACACATTATTTCACAGTGTACAAAGATAATTTAAATCTCATTTCCCAGTAATGAAGGTGTTGCTGCTACTGGTCCCTGATGTGGGTCTGGAAGAGCTGAACCCAGGGATGCTCTTCACAACAGGGCAATTCACATTCAACCCAAGGGTCAGCTCTTCTGCCAGGGTCAGGAACATCATTATTAGTTTTTTCTCAGCCTTTTTCCTGTTTGCTTTTATAAACAGACAATCATTTATTTAACAGTGCCTCACTAGTAGGCCTATAAGGCCTAAAATTACCATTAAGTAGAATATTTTTGTACTTCACTTTCACCATGTCCATTATTATAGTGTGGTGACTCGACATTACAATGAAAGTAATTATGAAATTATGAAAATAAAAATAAAATAATAATCAGTTATTAAAACATCTAACATGGCCACCACAAACGCATTTAATTTGTCTTCTAGTTTTGCCAGCACTCTCTCCTGGCTTTTGCACACTTTGAGGTGTTCCCTGGCGTTTTAATTAAAGACTGAAATTCGGCATAACCTTGCATTAAAAGCGCTTGCTCTGCTTGGGAGAAAAACTGGGCGTGTTATTTGGCCATGCTGAACAGCCAATAGCAGCGCTGCTGATCACTGGTTCTGTTATCGATACATGTCACCTTTTATACCAACGCGAGAACGCGCAGTTATCTCAGATAACTCAATCCAGCGATACTAATCATAAACAACAGGTGTGTTCGAAGAACCCAATTAGCCGGATCATGATTAGCACGATGATATCATCTTAGATGTCTCATTTGATCTCGGATGTTTTAAGCAACGTACGAAGAACGAGCCCCAGGCTGTTGTTACCTTACAAACAAGTGTGCCAACCATTCTTTTATTATCTGAAAACCTGAGTGAAAATGTCATACGACTGTACTCAATGTTCTTGATCTAACCAATAAAAACATAAAATAATAACACAGCAACATCACATGAGCATAACCGTTATAGAGACGATTGTCCAAAATCTCTACCAGTTGACAAATTTGTACTGGTATATTGCCCACCCCTAGTTCTGACAAGTAAAAAATGCTGCTAAATGTTCTCTTTAAGAGAGAAAGTCTAAATAAAAAGTAAGGCAAGTTTATTTCATATGCTGTGGCAATGGACTACTTGCACTGAGCTTCGCGACGCACTTCCGTTTGGAAACAATACATATCACTTATTTCCGGTTAAGTTAACTTTCAATGTACTGCGGTCAATGAGTTGAACAAACACCACCTAAAATGAGTAATAAGATTTTATATTTTGGACATTTTTATTGACAGAAGAATGGATATTCTGATGTTTACCATTTGCAGAATTTTCAAAACTCATCGGAACATTAAGTGTTAATCCAAACCAAGCCAATCCGCGAAAGCTGCGGCTGTTAAAAATACGCCATTATTTCACCACAGGGTGTCAGTGTTCGTCTACACTAGTGACCGCGACGTTGAAATGTGTGAGAACAGATTAATAACATCAGTACGAAACATGAACATTTATTTATTTGGATTAAATATTGTAATCATTCAGTGTCGTTTTTCAATGTCAATCGCTTTACTATTACATGCCCAAAATGCTTAATTAATATTCAGAGAAGTTGACTGTCATTCTCCTCTTGCTGCTGGCGTTCTGATCGTAGGTAGGCACCTCGCGATCATTCATTCATTCATTCATCAGTTAACCTTCAGACCCCCGCCGGCGCTCTGAAGCACTATTTTAAAAAACATTTCAGCAGGCTCAAGATAATTAATACAGAGATCGTTATTCATTGCTTTAATCAATGGCTTCCATAAAACGTAGTGATAATCTGCATTCTCATGTATGGACGTGCGATGAACACCCTAACCGGAAACTCCTGGTATGTAATAAGTAGATTGCGGAAGTAGTTTTGCAAGTAGTCCATTAAAAGTGTTTTACACAGAAAATAATTAAAACAACCACAAAATAAAAGCAAGGAAAATTAAAACAGTTATAAAAGGAATTACATTTTTTTTCCTTTTGATGAAGTAGAATATTAGTTACATCAGGATCACTATCATTAAATACGATTGACAATTGGCATACAGTTCGGATTGGCGGTATGGTTCTGTTCTCGGTGAGAACTCCCTGTGCATCCATGTAGCCTAGCATGGATAAGAGCAGCAAAGCAATAACCCCTCTTAGGGTAACAGAACCAACATAAATGTATTGCAGATATCATTAATTCAAGATTTTAAAGTACAAGAATTGGAGAATTTATTCTGATTCAAGGGGAAAATCCTGACTGGATGAGAGGAGGAGCTGGGGATGGAGGAGGAATTCAAAATAATGAAATCCTCGTACTGACCCACTTCCCATTGCACTGACTACTAATCTAAAGAGCTGATTGAGACGCACCCAGTGATTTAGTTTGGATTCATACTTCTTTCTGTTAATTATTCTCATCTTAAACAGGACAGAGTGTCCAGACATACAGTGAAACTTGTGACGCTATTATAAAGATGACGTTTATTAAAAAGGAGAGTGAAGACATGAAGATTGAAGAAGTATTCAGTTTGAAACAAGAAGATACTGAGGAGCAAACAGGTGAGTTTTATTCTCAAAACTGAACTGAATGATTCATTTCTTATTAAATCGGTAAGCCCTTCCTGAGACATTTGAAGAGACACAAATGAAGAGACATTTTAGCATAGGTTTTTTTTTGTAAACCACATTTAGTCTCGTTTTTATTCGTCAACGATATTACATTATACATTTAATTATAGTCATCGTCACACCACCAGCATTTATGTTGCGTCTCGTTTTCGTCACGTGATAAATGTTCATTGACGACCAGTGTTGGTCAAGTTACTTGGAAATTGTAATTAGTTACTGATTACTTCTCCAGGAAAGTAATCCAATTACTTTACTGATCACTTATTTTCAAAAGTAATTAGTTACTTTACTAGTTACTTTACTAAGTTACTTTTCAAAAACACGATGCACGACCTGAATACGTTAAAGCATAGACCTTTCAGCCTAATTCTATTCTTTCTGCATATTCCATCATCTAAAATGTAATCAAATTAAACATTCTCTTTTTTTTAAACTTGTTTTATTTGTTTCAATATTTTAACTTTATGCACATTGCATCAAGCAAAAATTAAATTAAATGCAACAGTCTCAGACTAGAAGAAAATTGTTGAACATTTAAACCTATTTTCTGCACATTCCACCATTTTAATGAAATAAAGACAGCCCTTCTTCTGTTAATATACATTCCTACATATTCCAGCATATAAAATAAATATATTTTGTAAAATCATGAAAGTCGCTCCTGACTATATTACATAGTATTAACACTTACGTCTTTTAACAGTAAAGGCCCTTTCACACTGAACGCGATTTTGACGCGCGAATGATTCGCGCGATGGTTTTATTTTTTGATCAGCTGTTTGTGTAATGAGTGCTTCCACACCGAACGCGAATCTGCTGCGGCGAAAAAACGACTTTTATTTTTTTCGCTTCGATGTCGATTTTTGAGGCGAAAGAAAAGGCTTCAGCCAATCATATACAGGGAAACAAAGGTGACGTGACCGCAGCAATGACGGACGGACCTTCTGATTGCTTGTGTGTCGAGTCTGTGAATGAATATCTGAAACAAGGACTGGTGGGACGTTGTGCTCGTTCGTTCGTATCGAGCCCAACCGGGTGTTTACAAGGCTTTTCAGTCCATTTGAGCCTTCAATACGTTTACTAAAAGTGTTTATTTGATTGCATGTAAACGTAGCCCCTGATGAATGGGACAGCTCACCTTCTGCCATATGTTTCTAGCTCCGGTAGTGGGTGCCCCAAACCTTCTTTTCTGCTTTTAAATAAAATAAAAAGCTTGTCTTCACTGGATGATAATGATAGTGATGAAGAAGCTATGTGCCACGTCCCGCAAGTCATAGCACTGTACCGCATTTTTTTTGTCTGCATCCTTTTATTTAATCGTCCTTTAAATAACAATTCTACAATTTAAAAAAATGTAATAAGAAAACATAGAAAATGCACAGCACAGACGTTAATGGAGCCATCACAAACAAACAAACTCTTCGTGGAGAGAGTGTTTGCTCTGATGAATGCTGCGTGGACAAGGAACCAGGCAACTGTGGACCTAAAGTGAACTGGTGAAAGTGAGCTCCACCTGCCAGTAGTTACTGCGAGTTACTGACATGCACATAATTAAAAAGAAGGTCCAATCGAAGCTGCCAGATCATCAGACAAACAATATAAATTCAAAATGCACTGATCGAATCCGGTAAGAACGCATTCATCTTTATCTTTCCTAATGGACTTATGTGCTTATTTGAAAATGTGCTATTTAGAGATTGGGATTTTTTTTTTTTTATTAAGCCTATTAAAGCATCATGTTAACATCACTTCAAAAAGACATAAAATCTATATTTATTCACCTATAGGCTATAATAATAAGTATAGAGTAGCCTACGTTTTCTGATGAAAATCAGGTCTGCTTTCATCGGCGCGAATGTTTTGGAATGTTGAAGTTCTGAACGTCGCAAATTCGCGTCGCGGCTGATGTGAATGGTTTTGACGCGAAATATTCTCACGCGAACTATTCGCTTTTTCGTTTCGCTTTTCCGTTACGCATCCGGTGTGAAAGGGCCTTAAAGTGCAGAGAGGAGTAAAAATTAGTAGATCAAAACAGAAAATGCTGTTGCATGCTGTATTTTGGCTTCAAGTTTTTTTTTTTTTCTTTCTTTCGGAGTTAAACAGTGGTTATGTACCATCAGCATGTAGCCACAGCGGTCATGTCAGACGGGGGTTCAGGGTTTTTTTCAGTAAGTTTCACATTCCTGTACCGGCTTGCTGCTTTAGTTAACCGTGTGAGACTGTCTCGTGTCATGCTTGTTCAGATTTGAGGTAGAATTTTGACATTCTCCAACGGGGGTCCAGTTTCTAGATCAGGATGCTCTCTGCAGTACGCAAGTCTCTCTTGCTCTCCTCGTCGTGCGCGCGATACGAAGTTTGGACTTTGGAACACAGTCTCGCATGCGCGCTCGCTCTAGATTCCGGGAGATTTTAACTAATTTGCGCTATAACTAGTCAATCACAAATGTGGCTCAACGGTTAGATTTATAGATAAACTCATCTTTCAGGCATTTGACCGACGGGATTGACACTTCAGCGCGAGAAATCAGGGGTGTGTCGTGTGAGCGTGTGTGAGAGTTGGCAGCTCTCTCCCGCGCTCTAGTCGTCTCTGATGATGTCGTGGCGCTCGTACGTCATTGTTATTCCCGCACGACTCATGTCACGAGACAGTCTGACTAAACAAAATCACGGTTAACTAACGCAGTAACGCAGGCTGTTTACGGGGAAGTAACGGTAATCTAATTACTGTTTTTTTAATTGTAATCCCTTACTTTACTCGTTACTAGAAAAAAGTAATTGGATTACAGTAATGCGTTACTGCCCATCAGTGTTGACGACAATATTTAGTTATAATTTTCATTGACGAAAGCAACACTACTCAACAGTCATATTTTTATGAGGCCGGACCCAGGTACATCAGCCCTTTTGGAATCTGCATAAAATCTCACCTGGAGAATGTGGCCATTAATCTAGATATCCTAGCATTGATGCATCTGTGCCCTATATCGCCCTGGACTATTAAAAACCAACCATCATCATGAATCACTTTATTAATTTTACCTGTATGCATACATGTGCATCTCTGCAATTAACCACAAATTTTGATCGACATTTCATTGACTAGTATTATGAGCAGACAATAAATCAGTCAAAAATGAGCATAATTGTATTTAATAAAGTAACTACTACTGAAGCATTTACTACGTTACAATGATCCATGTATTTACAAACATTAAAACACAAACTAAGACGACGCAGGGCGTTTAGACAATGGGTACCGTGTAAATGAGTTGGAGAGAGGGAGAGAGGATGGAGAGAAAGAGAGAGACAGGTTACATTCACCAAGACAGTCAACCTATCTGAAGTTAGTGTAATCAATCTAATAGTGAATATTGCTGATGTAGTCAATATAGTGGAATAAAAACAACACCTAGTCTTTCCCACTGCCACTTCCAAGGAAGCAAGACAATGTTGTGTAACCGAGCGCTGACTAGTTTCCGGGAGACTTTGGATGTCTGGCTTTGTGTAAACAGGCCTTTAAACTTACACATTTCCGCCATTATCTTACAATTGCGAATATACAGTATATTGTTAATTTATATCATGCAATTCTGACAGAATTGTGTGATAAAAATTTGCAATTACCTTTTCTGTTTTTAATTGAGTGGCGTAAACAAGCTTCCATAGCACCAGGAGGCATTTAAATGAGAAAATTGTTTGGTGTTCTGTTAACTAGATACGTTACCTTTGAGGATTTAGCATACATTTAGTTAGTTTTGATGCTTGAAATGTGTTAATGAATTTGGCTTTGTGCCATTAAACATGACTTAACTTGTATTTATCTTTTTCTGCTGTAGATCTGATGGGACTGAAAGAGGAGAGTGAAGTACTGAATGAAATGAAAGACCATGATCTGATAACTGGAGAAAAATCTTCTAGTGGCTCACAGACTGAAAATACTACCTCTCAAAAAAATGTTAGAAGAAAAGGAAGTTTTTTCACCTGCTTTCAGTGTGGAAAGAGTTTCAGTCACCATGAAAACCTTAAAGTCCACATGAGAATTCACAATGGAGAAAAGCCCTACACCTGCCAACACTGTGGAAAGAGTTTCTCTGAAAATGGAAGCCTTAAAATTCACACGAGACTTCACACAGGAGAGAAGCCTTACACTTGTGATCAGTGTGGAAAGAGTTTCAGACAAAATGCGGCCCTTAAATACCACATAAAAACTCATACCGGAGAGAAGCCTTACACCTGCAAACTGTGTGGAAATAGTTTTATAGCAGAACCAAGCTTTAGGTGTCACATGCACATTCATACTGGAGGGAAGACTTTCACGTGTGATCAGTGTGGAAAGAGTTTTACACGTAAAGTAACCCTTAATTCCCACATGAGAATTCACTCAAGAGATTTTACATGCCGTCAGTGTGGCATGATTTTTACATGTAAAAAATCATTTGATTCCCATATGAGAGTTCACACTGGAGAGAAGCCTTACACCTGCAAACTGTGTGGGAAGATCTTCTCACAAAAAGGATATATTACGAGTCACATGAGAATTCACACTGGAGAAAAGCCCTACACGTGTGATCAGTGTGGAAAGAGTTTCAGACAAAAAGTAACCCTTAATAAACATGTGAGGATTCACTTAAGAGAGAACCATTTAACGTCATCAGTGTAAACAACAACAAAAATTTTCAGTTCATTGAGAGTTGAGAGTTCACACTGGAGAGAAGCCTTTTACATGTCTTGTACAGTGTGGAAAAAGTTTGATAAATCAAAGAGACTTGAAACAACATTTTGCGAAGTCATTCTGGGAGAAAAAGATGTGTGTGTGATGATGAGGTTTAGAATAAGGATCAATTTCAAACATCACCTGCTTCATTCCCTCTGGTTGAAGGCAATTTAATTGTGATCAATTTAATACAAAATCTATTTTGCCTTTACACTTACTACACGGATACACTTGAAAAGTCACACAGATGTGAGAGCCTATTTGTGTTCCTTGTGTGGGAAGAGTTTTAAATGGCTCGGCAGTGTAAAATGGCACCAGAAAATACGTGTTTGTAAATAAAGGGTACGTACACACCACAGATGAATGTGGGCTAAATCTTATTTCCCCCTTGTGAGATTACAAATTTTATTAACATGTTTAATTTAATGATTTAAATGGAGAAAGTCTCTAAATCTCTGAAAACAGTAGGAATTCACAGTGTGACCCTCCTGACTGTCCTGTGACCACACGAGAAAGCAATGCCTTTCCTGTTTCTTGTCTCACCGTGTGAAAATGCCTGTTTGAAGTTTGAACACCTGCTATGTTAATTTCTGAGACCATTTGCCTTGGAGCTCCAGGGTCACATGCATTACCATTTGCTTTGTTTCAGTGTCTCCAGCTCCATGTAATCCCTCCCTCTTTGAAATGTATTCGATGAAAATAGAATGTAAGGTTCTTTTAAATCAGACGATGTTGACATGACTGCAGCTACGAGCAATAAAGAACTTCTGCTTGGAAAACGTCCATTGTCTCCTGGTCTCCTCAGCTGATAACTTTTCAGACAAGGAAAAGTTTCCCACACCCTCAAATATATTTGGCGAGGCTGTTCACGTGACCTTTTAGAATTGGTCCATATCAGATATTTATCTGATCAGGTGATGCTCCTAGAAAGTGTGAACTTGTCTTTTATTTGCATTGTTTTGTTCTTTATCTTTGTCTAATTTTTGATTAATACATTGTAGTTCAATAACAGTTCATGAATAATCTTGTACTAACGCATGAATTAATAGTTACTTGAACATGAACTCATATGAATTAACATTAAGGGAATTTGGCCTTTGTTTCCTCATTCATATTCCTGTGAAACAAGAAGTCAAAGCTAGACAATTTCATGTTCCTAGTCACTGGTGTGCTAAAATTATTATATTATTAAATATGAATGGGAGTGTTCCTCTGAGATATTTTACTCATAAAAACTTCCTGTTCAGTGAAAGCGCCACCCTCCTTCCTTAAAGCCCTGGTTGAATCTATAAACGTCTCGCGATCTGGGAAGTAATCCTCTACATTTACACCCTTCATGCCCTTCGTTGTCTGAAGAAACATTTTAATTTTGTCCGATGTATAAGAGCTGCAGACAGATTGCTTCTGTGAAGTAACGGAGTCTGAAGATTCACAATCACTTTCTAAAGCAGACTCCACAGCATTACTCGACTCAGAGTCCCCCTCCCTTGCATCACCAACAGCTGTTCCAGTAGCTTTTTTCCTAGCCCTTTTTTCTTTTCCTTTGGTCTTAGTTTTCCTTTTTAACGTAGGTGTTTTAAACAAACTCTGATCTTCTGACATGTCAACATCCACATCATCCTCTAACAAGGCCTGCTCACTGACCTCAGAAACACCACCTTCTTGCACATTTTCGTTTGTGACCACGCTCTCATTTTTATTACTTTCACGATCATCAATTCGATTTTTGTCAACACATCCTTTGTTTGTACGTGATCTGTATTGCCAAGTGTTTCAACTGTATTGTGATTCTGATCTGCGTTCTTCTCAGGACACACGTGTATCACGTGACCCTCTTGTCCACAACCAAAACACAATAAGATACTGAAAATCATCAATCTTAAACTTCATGGCTAAATTAAGCTCCTCATTCTGGTTATTTAGGATCATGTGTACCTGCCTCCTAAAAGAAACAACGCTCCGCGGGTACAACCTTAACGCCATGCCGTCGTGTCAAACTTTCTGAACTCGCGTGCTCGCCATAGCGATCAGCTATGAACGACGACGCTCCTCACAAACACTACACCCATTACTCTATTTACCTAAAAACAAAACCAAGAGAGATAGAAAAAATTTAGAAAACTCACTCACATCGTAGAGCTCACTCCAACACACACTCATGCTCCGTCCACAAACTCCCAGCATTCACGAGAGAGAGAGAGAGAGAGAGAGAGAGGAAATGGGGGAGGGCGTAATAGAAAGTTAGTTGTGTGTAATTCTGTTTATTTCATACTGGCTCCAATGTATATGACAATCTAAATACTTTACTTTCACTGGCATCAGCAAAGACCGGGTGTCCCGTGTGTCCTCAATATTATGCTGAGACTGCTGAGGCTCACCCAGAGAGAAGAGGTGGTGCATGACACAGTGAGGAGCATGTAAGGAGAAGGCAACTCGTTGTTGAGCACATATACAGACTTTCACCTACAGGGCCAGCCATTATGGCTGGAGAGGAGCACCAGGCCACAAGTCTCTCCCCAGTGACCTGAGTGTACGCAAGATACATTAGCTTTTTGAAGCTCAGAGCCATGCTCAAACCAGCTATTCCCTCTTTTATTCAGTGTTTTCAAAGGAATTCAATCTTGGCTTCGGTCACCCAGCTACAGATGCATGCACTGATTGTGCCAAGTACAAGATCAGGATAACAGACTCAAACCTTACTGACACAGAGAAGAAGATCAGAAGAATCAGCATAATTTATCTTCCATCGTCACAGAGGGCGCTTTTTAGGCAGGTTTGCTGAAGGTCATATGTCCTGAAGTTCAACCTTGAGGCAGTCATTCAGCGCAGAAGCAATCATATTGCTGTCTTTGCTACCCTCATTCTCCTGCCACACATACAGATGCACATCATCTTTTGCCTGACAGCTGTTCTCCCCATGGTGCACAACCACACCAAACAGGTACAGATACATCTGCCATGAGTAATAGGCCTGTCCTATTGCGGTTTTTGGAAGGACCAGGTTTTGCATCATATCAAAACAGCAAAGTCAGCAGATCCAGGGGGGTTTCGGCTGTTTAGTGACTCTTGTTTTGGGCAGAACAAGAACATGAGCATGGTGTCCATGCTGATGGAACTTCGGCAGCTTTTCCCCAACCTCAGCATAGACAACATGACATCATGACTTTTGCGTAAACATACACGCCAATTTCGAGTCAAGTGGCGTGTTATCTCGACGCATTTTGAGCTATCCGCGTGTATGTCTGCGCCATTAACGTCCGTGTCATTCCGCGTGTCTGTACACGCCGTCAAATGTCCGAGCAAAACAAAGCAAAATGTACATCTACATCTGGGGAGCTATGTTTTTCTTTCCTAGGATGGTAAGGAAACAGTCATAAATGCCATTAACGCCAGTGACGGTTAGGTTTAGGGACAGGGTTGAGGTAAGTCATATATTTTTATATACAGTAATAACGTTAAGTCAACGGTGCTCATAAACACGCTGAAAAGCGATTATGTGTGTTGATAACACGCCAAAAATGGAAATACGAATTGGTGCGTCATACACACGCTACTTCATGAGATCAGTCTGGTACACGAGTTAGAGATAATACGAATGCAAGCGTTTCTAGCGTTTCTAAGACGTATGGCGACGTACACAGTGACGTAATGACGACATTCCCTGGGCGCTCTAGTACCAACCGAACCAACTTTGAACCAGCACCAGTTCCGAACCAGTTCTTTTTTTGGTGGAAAAGGGGTAAATGGGGTTTCACCCCCAGAAATCCACTTTTCTCAGGATGTAATTTTTTGTCAAGTAATTTGAAAGTTGCATTCAAAAGGGAGGGCTAAGAAAATCTCACTCAGCTGAAAATTGCATTTTTAAGTTCACTTATCTGTTTTAAAAATCCGTTCAAAAATGTGATGACATCACACAATAGCAGAATGCTAGCGTGTTCCGGCCAACAATGGCCTAACCTGTAAGAAATCAAAAGGACATAAGTACTCGTTCATTCGACTTGTGGCTTATAATCTATATTGAACTTGCGGAATCAACAATAAAATCTATTTTGATTTAACGACAAGCAGGTGAAAGAGACAAATTTAGCTGTTTAGCCCCATAGACTCCCATTCATTCTGCACTCGCCCGCGATCACCTCCAGTGGAATTCTAATGGAACTGCAACCAAGATGATACACAATGGTAGGAAGTGCCAAGGCTCTCCGTTAGACGGGCTCTGATGATATGCTGAAGTTACCTGTGGTGTCAAGCCCCCTCCTTCCTGCCACCAATCAACGCACCCCTCATTTGCATTATTAAAATGATCGTCCACGACAGCCAAAATATCGCATCAGAACTCACGAGACAATAATGCATTCAGAAATAAGGGTCAAAGGAGCTCTGTGTTTAATTTTTTTCCACTTTTCTTTCTTCATTCGAAAAGAAATGAAGGTTTTTGATGAAAACATTCCAGGATTTTTCTCCATTAAAGTAAATTATCAGCAAAAGTTTTTTTAAAAGTGAACTACTGCTTTAAGAGACACTGGCCTAAACAGAATTATTTTGTGTAACATGAACCCAATATCTACATCTGAAGTAAACACAATCCCTGTGTTTGAATATTGAATACTTCCATACAAAAGTGTCTAATAAATGTCTTATCTTGTCTTACCCTTTACATAGTAGGTGCAATCGCAAATGTGAAAGTGAAGTAAAACACAAGCCTGTCTCTCAATATCATAGATCTCTGGCCTGTTTGCAATTGGAATATTGAGAGTACTTGGATTATGGTTGCACTTGCACTTAATAAGAATAAGAAAAAAAAAATATTTACGATAGTTATATTTATTGTAGTGCTGTCAGTTAAACGTGTTATTACAGTTTTTTTCAATTGCTTACACACTAAAATTAAAACTTTCCCACTGTTAGCAAAACCTACACTCAAGGAGCAAAACACCAGCCTAGATTTGCACAATTGTAAGCACGTTGTCACCTTCACCCTTTTTGCAAAACATTACACACAGTGATTTGTAAAACTCTACACACATCTTTACACCTTAGACACAGATAAGGATTGTGAGGTTACTTCCTTGTCATTACAAAGCCCCAGTTTGCCATTGACCACACTAATGAACGAATTGGATATTCACATCCACCAGGTGTGGAAGCACACATGTGCTAATTTGAAAACGCAGCACTTATGTGAGTCTTC